GATACTACATTATAACTCTTTAAATGGGAGTTTCTTTCTTTCTCTTTTTCCTTTTTCTTTTAACTGTTTATTGAGAAAGAGAGCATACATGAGTGAGTTCACAAGCAGGGTAGGGGCAGAGAGAGAGGGAAAGAGAGAATAGCAAGCAGGCTCCACACTGTTAGTACAGAGCCTGGAACAGGGCTCAAACTCAGGAACCATGAGATCATGATCTGAGCTGAAACCAAAAATCAGATGCTTAACCAACTGAGCCACCCAGGCAACCCTTAAATAGTAATTTTTTGAATTTAGATTGCAATACAGTATTGATTCTGAAACCATGTCAGTGAATTTTTTGTACTCTTTATGTTAAAATCCATTGGCATTGGTCTATCTTTGAATTAATTGAATTTTTATTTTGTAACATTATGTACTAGTCATTTGAAAAATATTGGTTCCCAGAGTTACTCACATCTTCCAAAATATTGTCATATTTCATCATATAATGTCAACAAATGATACTCATGAATGTCACCAACAATCTTAATAGAGAACTGGAAAATTGTGAGGCTTAATGTGACAGACACAAGTTTTCAAAATTCTAATTTTTACTTAAAAGATGGAATTTTATCATTGGCAACCAGTACTGTCATTTGTTTTCTTTGACAGGCTCATTTTCTTTATGGTTGAGAAAATAACTGCTGAATACCAAGTCCGAATCATCATGGTTTGAAGTCTGTCAGTCACTCTTTCAAGTAAAAGTAATAGTCTACACAGGTGGTTAGTGCATTTCACAATTCAACACGCAATTGCTTTTCCTCTAGACAGCCATTCATCTCTCTCTTGTGCCTCAGAGGTACTTTATACACACTTCCCGTTTAGTGACAGAACAGGGTCAGCAAACACTTTATCTAAAGGGTCAGAGAGTAAATATTAGGCTTCGTGGACTACTGAATCTAGTTTGAATTGAGCTTTGTAACTATTCGACACATCACTATGGTGTGAAAGCAGCCTTAGACAAAATGAAAACAAACGGGCATGGCTGTGATCCAGTAAAACTTTATTTACAAAACAAGATGCATGGCCAGATTGCCCAGCAAGCTATAGTTTGCCAACCTCTGACACAGAATATTAAAAGGTTGAATATTTTAAGATCAGGATTTAATAAAATCTATAACCTGTATTTCATCAATAGCATCAGTAGCATTGTATCTCACCATCACCACTCCACTACCCATCCTTACTTCTCTTCATTTTGTGATGCTACTCTCTGAGGCTAACACTCACATCTGAGCCCTGAATTCTAGAGCTCCTGCCTCTGGACTTCCCCACAAAGAATTTCTACTCTTTTCAACCTCACCTCTTTTTGGCTTTTCCTACTTAGTTTTAAACATGCTTAAATGTGTACCATCTATAAACCATTAAAAACCATCTTTTGACCCTCTCCCACCCACAACTAGTCTGTACTTGAGCTTTATTTCCTGCACATGGCAGCAGTCACATAGTTGTGAATATTCTATTATTGGGGTTCAGCTTCTGAGGACTCTGTAGTATTTGACATTGATGACCCCTAATTGCTTCTTGAGGTTTTTGAAGCTCTCTTCTTAATTGGCTCTCACAGTTTCACTTTCCTGGGCTTCTCTTTGCCATCTGTTACCTCATTTTTCTTCCATTTATCTCTAAATGTTAGTCTTTTTAAGCTTTGATTCTTATTTATAACATAATCTCCATTTTTTGGGGGGTTACCTCTTCTACTTACATGATTTCAGCTCCCATTTCATTGCTGATGACTCCTAAATTTGTATCTAGGCTGAATGTTTGTCCTGAACTTTACTTTTTATTTTATTTTTATTTTAGAGCATGAGCAGGGGAGAGGAACAGAGGGAGAGGGAGTCACTCAGAGTGAAGCCAGACACAGGACTTGATCCTATGACCCTGGGATCATGACCTGAGCTGAAATCAAGAGTCAGATGCTCAACCAGAGCCACCCAGGTGCCCTGTCCTGAACTTTAGAACATGCTTCCAGTCCACTATCAGACATCTCAACATAGATCTCCATCCAGCAGCTACCTCAAATGTATTGTGTTCAAAATAGTTTATGCCTTCTTTGAAACCAGCTTTCCTCCCTTTCCAGAAAAAAGCATTTACTGGACCCCAAACCAAAAATCTGAAATTATTCATGATTCCTTTTCCTTTCCCCTCTAATATCCATTTTCTCACCTGGAAACCTCATCATTTGAGCCTCCTGAATATCTTTCTACCCTATTCATTATCTCCCTCTATCCCTACTGCTTTTTCATTAGCCAGGCTCACCTTATCTCACTCTCAGTTGGGCTTTCTAACTTACATTTTTCCTGTTTTCTAGTATATCTTTCTAGGCATATATTATCCCATACCTCTGCTTACCTTGCAGATAAAAATTAGTAGTCACTATTTAGTTGTGACTATAAAAGTGAAGTCTTATACTTCTCTGCTAAAATCCTTCCAAGGGCTCCTGTAAGGTGAAATCATGTGTGAGACCCCTCTGTGTGTGAAATCCCACTGGTCATCCCCTTGCTCTTCAGCTAAGTTCCTCCCCACCCCACCTGACCACACATACCTAGCCCCCAGACCACCACAGTTCTCCAAGGACATCTCACCTCTTAGGACTCCACACTTTGCTTGGTAAAAATGTCTTTCTCACTTCTCTCCTATGGCACAGCTGACTTTAGGATCCTCCCCATTGAGTCTTTCCTGGTACCCTACTCTGTTCTCATGATACAGTGCTTACAAACATTGGTTTTGAGTGCCTACTATGTTCAAACACTTTGCAACTCTTATAATAGTCCTGAAAGGTAGTAATTATTACCTCCCATTTTAAAGATAAGGGTCTAAATGAAAGAGACATTTAATTTGTTAGAATTGTACATCTAAACAGAAGCTGAGCTAACCCTGGATCTGGGTTCTCTGTGCTTTATCTTGTTGCTTCCCTTTACTCTTTTCTTAGAGGGCTTTCTCTATTATCTGACCAGGTATTTGTCTCCTCTGACCAGCAATATATTTCTGTATCCCCGGAGCCCAGTTCAATAAATGATGAATAAAAGAATTTGTGACTGACACAGAATTTCAAGTAAAGTAATCCCATAATACAGTCTCAGAAAACAGTGTCACAGCTTAGTGATTTTTCTTTTTTAGAGAATTGTTTGCTTATATTTTGGGCTAAAGTAATGAGGTTTTGGGGTAAATTTTGCTCAACAAATATTTAGTGTGCACTGCACACTGCACAGAAAGCAGACACTGGCATGATTGTTTCCATTGTCAAGGAGCTTAAGTACGGTAGGAATTTATGACAGATACACATATAAATTGAATAACCAGCAGGAACAAAATGCCTCAGGTTTTAAAACAGGGAGGCAACATCAGCCTGCACTTAAAAAGGACCAGGAAAGATTTCTTGAAGGATGAGTAAAATTCTAATTAAGGGAAAATGTTGAAAGAGGGATATTAAAGGGAATAGGGATGATGACTGGAATTTAAAATACATGATATAAAGTAAAAAGTTAGCCTGGTTTGGTCCATTTATAATTCAGAACAGTTATTGATACCCATGAGTCTAGAATTTGTTTCAGGGAGGCAATATCAACTTTTTTTAACCTCATTTTTTTATGATATAGAGACATGAGTAAAGCAAATTTATGGTTTATTGATTACTGAGTGTGGATTTCAGTCAGGAAAAGGATGGGCCTGTCTCTTCATTTGTTGCATGAGATTCTCTTGTAACTGAGTATCACCTGCAGTTCTCTGCAGGGTGGGTGTGGCTTGTAAGAGAAGTCTTGTAGTATTGTCCTGAGGGGGTTACAGTATGCTGTAGGAAGTACCGGTTGACCCTTGAACAACCCCAGGGGTTAGGGGCATTGACCACCCATGAAGTCAAAAATCTGAGCATAACTTTTGACTCCTCCAAAATTTAACAACTAATAGCCTACTGTTAACCAATAGTGACCAGAAGCCTTACTGGTAACCTAGTAAATTAACACAAATTCTTTTATGTTACATGTGTTATGAACTGTATTCCTTACAATAAAGTGAGAAAATAAAGTTACTAAGAAAATCATAAAGAAGAGAAAATACATTTATGGTACTGCACTATTGAAAAAAATCTGTGTGAAAGTGGATCCTTGCAGTTCAAACCCATGTTGTTCAAAGGTCAACTGTACCACCCTCAAGTCTGCACTGCCCCAGTGTGACTTAGCTTCTGTCCCTTAGCACATTATCTTTGGTTGCCTTAAATACCTTTTTGGCAGCACTCGCCACTATTTCTAATGCTATGCAGCCCACTTTGGCCACTATATAAAAAAAAAAAAATTTCCCTGAGATATGGCTGGAATCATACTGATAATATGTAAATAATGGACAGTGTATATATTATAAAGTTTTCTCTTATAAACTCAGGTCACACCCTAGTAATTTAATGTGTGTGTGTTCTTTGGCAGCTTAGGTAAGTGTGATGGAATTTTTTTTTTTTTTTTTTTTACTATTTGCTCTCATTCTGCCACATAGGTGGCAAGTATATTTATTAGGACCCATCAGAATTAAAATCCAAGTGAAGTAGGCATTTAGCGGCTTCATGTTTCAAAACATACATTTATGTTATTGGCTTCAAATGCTGTATAGAGTAAGTGTCCACATTTTTGAGACCCTGTACTAGGAAAGAAGAATTAACACGAAGCTTAGCTTTCCTGGAGTTTGTAATTTTTTAAAGAATGATATTGGTGCCAGAAAACCAGTAAAATTCAGAACAGGATACAGAAGAGAATTCAGTAGAAAAAAATAAGCTCAAGAAAAAAATGAATGCTTTGGGTAAATCGTGTATTTATGTGTTCATTTGTAAAGATACTATAGTTTTATTTTATTAGCTGTTGTCAAAGCAGTTTTGAGATTCTTGTTTTAGTTAACTGGTTTAAATGTTTAAATTTTTAAATGAAGTTTTGTGTGTAATGGTTAATAACACTGTTGGGTTTCTTCTACTTTCATAGATTTGATCCAGGCTACCAATGAGACCAATGTTAATATTCCTCAGATGGCCGACACACTCTTTGAGCGGGCAACAAACAGTAGCTGGGTGGTTGTATTTAAAGCTTTAGTCACAACACATCATCTCATGGTGCATGGAAATGAGGTAAATGAGGAAAACTTAACTTTTCTCTTTTTGGTGGGGGAGGGAGGCTTTTGTGGAGGGCTCTTTGACTTTTCACTAATTAGGAGAAGAGGAGGAAATATATAGTTCAAATCATCAAGAGTATACTTTTAATCTTCTATTTAGCTATTTTTCAAGAAATAAATGTTAGACATTCTTTTGGAGACATTGAAATATTAACCGTGATTGGTACTTAAAATGTATATATCATATAAATGTATTGGCAAAATTGTCAGAAGAAAGGAACAATAAAATTATTTTTCCCATTAGGAATAGTCTTTAAGTAAAAATTGCTTTCATAAAACTGCTTAATTTTGGAAAATATGAATAAATTTAAAATTACCCATTTTAATTTTTTTTTTTTGAGAGAGAGAGAGAGACAGCCTGAGCAGGGAAAGGTCAGAGAGAGGGGGAGATACAGAATCCGAAACAAGCTCCAGGCTCTAAGGTAGCTGTCAGCACAGAGCCCGACACGGGGCTCAAGCCCACGAACTGTGAGATCATGGCCTGAGCCGAAGTCGGACGCTTAACCGACTGAGCCACCCAGGCGCCCCTAAAAATACCCGTTTTATATGGGATGCCTACTGAATCATATAAATTGCAGTGTTTCTGTTGTGTAAGAAATGAAAGATCATAAAATTTAATTCTAATTCAGTGAGTACTTTTCAGTCTTCTTTCCTTTCAGAGAAAGTCAGAGTAAGAAGCTTTATAACTGAGTAAAAACTAAAATCATTATGAGAATTTGTAGCATCCTTTAGTATCAGAAATTGCTTAAAGGTATGATTTGGGAATATTGGTTTTAATTCTGATTTTTGTTTTTCAGAGATTTATTCAGTACTTGGCCTCTAGAAATACACTATTCAATCTCAGCAATTTTTTGGACAAAAGTGGATCCCATGGTGAGAATATTTATGTTTTCTAATTTTTTAAATAATGCTTTTGATGCAGGGTTGTTTTTCTAATTTTTGAAGTGAGATTATTAATCTGTAGTGTGACTGATAGTTCTGTTGGGTATTTAAGAAAAACATAAAAGTAATTATACAGTTACTTTGTAGAGCTTTAAAATATTTGTTAGGCAACTCAGCATATAGATAACATTAATTTTACTTTTTGCCTTTTTCAGTGTTTACCTTAATTGTATTCTAGACCCACAATTGTTTGTACAAAAGACAATTAAATGAAAGGTACTTTCCCAATTAAAAAAAAAAAAAGATTCCAGTCTCGAAGCAACGTTCTTCATAAATTAGTAGAATTTGAACTGCAGTCATGTGCCCATTCATCACACTTACTGGTTGCCTTTCTTGTATAAGGCAAGCACACCAAGCAGGTAGTTCTTAGATAGCCATGCGTATGAAAACAGAAAGAGCCTGTAATCTGAAATGGTGAACATAAAGTGCAGGGAAAATCAGAAAAGATAATCTGTACAAGGACGGTAGCATAATGAAATTGAAATGTCATAGAATGTCTCATGCCTGAAGTATTTTTGCTTGCAGTAGGATTTGAAATGAGGCCTTTCTGGTACACTTATTGACCTCATCCTAGTATTATTTACATTTGGGAGATTTAAAAAAATTGGTACTAAGCGAAGCACAATTGAAGGTATTTTATTAATTAGTTTTACTTCCTCTGCCCCTCCCCCCAGGTTATGATATGTCTACCTTCATAAGGCGCTATAGTAGATATTTGAATGAAAAGGCTTTCTCTTACAGACAGATGGCATTTGATTTTGCCAGAGTGAAGAAGGGGTATGTTTTTTTTTTTCTTTCTCATATTTATTTGAGCAGAGTAAGTCTTAGGACATACTTGACTTACCTTAACTAAGCTTAAATGCCAATAATTTTGGTCATGAAGGCCCAGTGTACAATCACCTGAAAAAAGAGACTCAGTGGTATTATAGAAGTTATCCTTGAGGTTGTGATATGTATTACTTTATTTATATTTTTATGCAGAAAATCTAATTTGCTGCCCATAGTTGACAAGGTATTACATTTTATTTGTTAAAATCAATTCAAAATTCGTAAACACATATATTCCTTTGAATAATTTTAAATGGAGAAAATTTAAACAAAGGTCATTCAAAGTTCAAAGTGCAGTGGCTCTAGTTGACAGTAGTTATTTCAGTGTTTTGATTGAGGTAAAACTGAACACACACACACACACACACACATGCACACACAATTGAACTGATTAGTAATACTAACCATGGATTTAGAAAACCTCATCAAAAGAGAAACATTTGCTTTTTAATACATAATTATCATTTATTTCCCTCTAAATTGATGTTGAATTTAATCAGAAGTATTCTGCCATAAATTTGTGCAGATCTTGTATCTGTTCCTTATTAGAAATAATGATAAGATATTGGAGGTTTAATATTTTAGTCTCAAGAATCCACACAAAAAGATAAAACTTAATTTTTCTAATACTGACCCAGGCTTAGCTTTGAAGTATTTTTTTTTTTATCATGGTGGTGAACAATATAAACTTGGCCATTCAAAATAATTAGCTTCTTGTGGGTGAACATTTTATAGAATTGGGTTTTTACTTCATCTCTTGCTCATTATAGATGATTCTGGTTTACGTGCTTTTCTCTGACTTCCTACATGGGCCTGGATAGCCATGGCTGTTGTTACCAGCTGCATTGCAGCCTTTCTGCAGTAGGTCCATAGCCTTCATAGGAACTTCTGCACCGTTTAATGGGCACATAAAGATACTTTGGGATGCTTTCCGTGCCATTGAAGTGGGAGAGACCCTGAAAGTTGCCATCATTAGCCTGTTCACCTCACCTGGGTATTTCCCTCAGCTACTTCGATACTGCATGCCTGCACCATCACTGGACGCAGGGGCTCCATAAGAGGCCTGTGGGTGGGCACAGGGTTCAGTGCCCTATCTGATGCACCCTCTGCCATGAACCTCCGGTTGTGTCCTCTGCAGCTAGTGAAATTCTATCTCGTTTTGCCCAAACTGTGCATATCTGCTTGCTTTTTCTTCTCTTGCTAGTTAATAGTATACAATCTGCACTCCCAGCCCTATGGGTTTTGAAGGCTTCTAAGACCTGTGTTCTGTCCCTTTCTCAGTACAAACAAACAAATTGGCATTCACTAAACATATACCTCTGTTATAGATTTGGAAAAATCCATCCAATAATTCAACTGATATCTTTTGTTCAGACCACACTGGTTTCTTCCTTAGGGCAGTGCAGAGATAAAGAAAGTATTGCCTGTGTGATTGAGGAACAAGAATGGGTAAGAGGAAGTAGTGTAGAGAGGGTAATCAACTACAGCCTCTTAATATCTCAAAATCATCCTGTAAGATTAACAAGGAAATGGGGACAATGGGGAGCTTAGAAGAATGCATGTGGTCTTGAATTTTTGATATTCAAGAAAGTTTTATCTTTTTTTTTTTAAAAAAAAAAAAATTGCAGGGCTGATGGTGTAATGAGGACAATGGCACCTGAAAAGCTACTAAAGAGTATGCCAATACTGCAGGGACAAATTGATGCACTGCTTGAATTTGATGTACGTATCTCACTAGAAAATGTTTCTTACACAGTCATTACTGTCTTTGGTTGAAGGTGGGCTACAAGTAAAGCTAGGAATATGCTCAGGAAACAGATTTAGGTCTCCCCAAACCAAATGAACTCCCTAAATGAACACTTCCTTTAGGCTCTTAGCACAGGAGAGATGACTTTGGTTACCCAGTTTGTTTGAACACTTTACCAGGTGTTTACTTAAGTCATGGAAAAATACAAATGGTGCGTTCTTGGAACCCCACTTCAGAACAGGATGATGGTCTCCTGTTGTATTTGAGAGGATGAAGTAGCTACAAGTTGTTCCTTAGGCAGCTAAATAACTTAGTCTGCTGTTAGAGGCCATTTTATATAGACAGCTTAGATGATGCCATCTACCAAATAGAATTTTCTTTGCTTTTTCATGGTCTTTCTTCCTAGTAATACCAACATGACATGTGTCTTAAAACCATGCCTGTATCTTGAGTGTGGAGGTAAATACACTGACCTATGTATGTATAAGATTATGTAGAAAAGCACACACATACACACACACTCTTGAGTACAACTGAAACGGGAAATCTGAATAAGATTGGTGGATTGTAGCAATATCAGTATCCTAGTTGTGATATTGTACAGTTATTTTGCAAGATGTTACCATTGGGAGAAACTGAATAAATGGTATATAGAATTGCTATATTTTTTTACAATTGCATGTGGATTTATGGTTATTTCAAAATGAAAAGCTTGAATAAACATGTCTGATTCACAAAAATAAAATATTCTGACATGTAAGAAGATTCTTGACTCACTTTGTTAGCTTTCCTTTCTTTTGATGGTTGCCTGAAACAAAAATTTCCCTCTAATGTTAGTAACTTAAAATTTCTGTTAAAATTACCCAGTTTACTCTATTTAAACTGAGTCCTAGTCACTGCATTCATCTCTTGTGAAATTTCGGTAAAAGCAGCAAACCATGTTGTTGGTTTGATGGATTTTACAGTAAGGATTTCACTAAGTATTTATGGAATTGCTTCTCTTAGCTTTTTTCTCTTTATTCACTTATTTTTCTTTGCTTTTCTTGCCCTTAAAAACAGTGCTGTCTTAGGTGGGAAAAGTCATACAGGAAAAAAGAACAGACCTTGAGGAGTTGTGAACAAGGGTTGGGGATAAGGAGAAATTATTCTTCTTTGTGTTTGTGATTAGACTATTTGGTGGATGGGTGAATGTTATAAGTCTCAAGAATTATTTTGGAGGTCGCTGACTAAGGTGTCTATACCCCATGATGTGCTTCCTCACTGAATCACTGCAGGTCCCTGGAGCCTGAACCCTTCCACAGAGACCTTTACCTAGGGGAAGTGGAAGAATATAATATAACATAGTAAAAGTAACAAAAGACTACGTGTTTAGAAGTGTATTTGATTGAGCTATGGATCCATCAAATAGGATGTATAGATGTCTTATAATTGATAGGACTAACTTCATTGACTGGAATTGAAGCAAAAAATATATATACAGTCCATCTTTTAATATTGGTAGAGCTACTACAAGAGTTATATACAACACTTGTAGAACGTGAATTAATTTCTTAGTAATCATTTGAAACTTTTCCATGTGCTCTGAGAAAAATTGTCATTTAATGACATGCAATTAACATTAAATTTTTCCTTTTTTATAGGTGCATCCAAATGAACTAACAAATGGTGTCATAAATGCTGCATTTATGCTTCTTTTCAAAGATCTTATCAAACTTTTTGCTTGCTACAATGATGGTGTTATTAACTTACTTGGTATGTAGAACTGCTAATGGTGTCTTTGAATAGAGACTGTATCAGAATGCAAAGATTTGGGTACTATGGACTTAATACATAATAATATAAATATATGATTCATTGAGGTCACATTTCTCTGTTCTTATATCAGTCAAGATTGAGTGCAGGAAACATAAGGCACTCTAGATGTTTTAAGCAGAAAGCGATTTTATACAGGGATTTTGGTGCTTACGAAATATTGGAATGACTGAAGGTTCGTCCCAATATGTTCTTCTCCACTGTGCTCTAACAGCTACCTCTGGTGCCACCTGTAGAGATGTGTAGGGAGAAAGAAGCCACTTGGCACCTCATTAAGTATAAGGGCTACCCCAGCTCCTTGGTTCCTTGACACATATACTCCAACAGTGATGAGCAAGGTACCATATCCTGACCAGTGGTTCAGAGCATATGCTAGAATCTTAACTTCTTAAGGTATCTTCTTAGAGTGGGTTTAAAATAGTGTCTTCTGCAGACCATTCCATCATTATGTAAGGTCAGCTATTTCCGGACTGAAAGGATTCATGCTAAGACTGACAAATTCTGTGGGATGCATCTGTTGTCTCACTTCTTGTGCAGTAAAATAGAAGTAGGATTGTGTGAGATACCATGATGGGGAGTAATTCCACAGATGGTGGTACTGGCGGAGCAATATGGGCAGAGGTGATAAATCCATATCCAGGATGAATTGTCTGTTAAGATCTGTTCCCTGGTAAAAGGAATTAATCCTTAACCTTTTACTTGGTGGATGACTCCATACTTCCTGGATTAAGATGCTGTGATAGAGGCTCAGCATTGATCTCTGATTTTGACAGAATAAGGACTTAGCAACAATGGCAGATATATCAGACTGTGTGGTTGGACCTATTCATAACCTCCATTTCTTATGTAATAGGCACTTTGTTCATCAACGTATGGAGTCCTCTTATCACCCTGATCACTGAGAACCTTTTTGTGGCATATGGCCATTGATCTACATTTGCATGGAATGAAAATAGTCTCATGCTCTTTATCCATTCTGAAAGGTCCACCCACTCCTTTTCTCCAGACCTTGTCACCAATCTTCCAGTTTTAATTTTTCCAAGTCCCGAGTCATCCAGGTCAGCAATTAGTTTGCTCATAGTTTGGGGTAGTTCCATTTGTCTCATTATCTTTCCTTTGACCTACAGTGGAAATCATATAGATATGCTGTTTGAAGTTTGGCCTATAGTGAAAGATTTCTTTCCACTCTCAAAGTCACCCCTTTGTGGGGATTTAATGATTCAGCAAACCACTTTTCATTAGTGCCAGCATGAGAAACCATCTCTAAACCAACCTTGAATTCTTTCTCTCCTCAGGCTGCTGGTCATGGGGAACTCCCCAGAGGCCATGGGTGTCATTGGAGGGAGAAGTGCAGTGCAGAAGTATCAGTGCTCTGGGAACATGAACCATCTGTTCATACAGCCTGCACGGGTATTCAGAGTTGGCTTGAGGCTGACCTCTTCCATACCACTCTCATTTGATGATAGAGTATTCTCGCACTTGCCCAGCTTATGGGTTTGTAAATTAGATAACACTTGAGGTCTTATGATCACTTGATATTCTATGGTTAGAATCTCAGCCTCTATAAGCAAGCCAAGAACAGTTTTTCCAAAGGAGATTAGTTATTGTGTGAAGAAGACATGGCTCTGCTCCAAAGCACTAGAGGCTTCCACTGTATTTTCCTACTGGAGTGTGCCAGATGCATTCTGCAGTATTTGGATCTGCCGCAGACACTTTTGAGTACTTTTAGGTTTGAGGGAACAAAGGCCCATGTGGCTCCAGTTTGGAGCAGTGGCAGAGCCCTCCCCTGATCTGGATCCTACTTATATCTGACACCATCTCTGATACGTTTTTTAGAGTAGAGCACACACATATTGTATATGTTACCTCCAAAACTAAAAATTCTCAGCAAAATTTTTACCTACGTTATAGTTACAGGGGATGCATGAAGCAATTTGTCTTTGACATGGAGGGAACCTTGGGACCCTAAGAAACTGTTGATGTGGCAGGTCTCTGAACTTTCATAAATTGTCTCCCACCCCATGACATACATGTGATTTATCAAGGCACCTAGCATAACTGAAATTCTTGCCCACCGGGTACAATCAGCCTGATATCATTAGCGTGACAACCCATGGGATTATGACAGCTACAGAGGTTGATATCATTGAAATAAGACAGCAAGTGTATGATATCATCCCTGCCAGATGAAAGCAAACTACTTCTGATGAGCTCTGTTTATTGGGATAGAGATAAAAGAGTTTGCTGGTTTGATAACTGGCTACCAAGTGTCAAGAGTGATGCTGATTTTATGCTGTTAAGGAGGAAACGTCTGGAAATCTGCAAGCCGGGGTCATCACCTCATTAGGTTCACAGTAACTTACCATAAAGGACTCTCTACAACCCATGTCACAAACCAGATATGCAAGTTAACTGAGGAAATGATAGAATTGCTACCCCTGTATCTTTTAAGAGGTTAGGAAACCAGTGTGGGGACTCTGCTAGTTTCATAGCATTTCCATTAGAAATATATATTCAGGAAACTGGGGAAATAACCACAAATAGTGTCACATACCCACTGGATCCACTTTTCTTTTAATCACCTAATCTCCAAAAAGCTTCTGCTAAGATGAGTAGAACAAATGGTGACATTCTGGGTCCACAGGGAGTAGCATCAGCTTAGAGTCAGTGTCCCTGAAAAGTCTGGGTATGACCCCTTCCCTTGGCTATAGTCACCCTGGTAAGGGTCCCTTTTGCAGAAGAGTAAGAAAAAGTGCTTTTGGCTGTGTTTCAAGGACATTTCTCAAGACTATTTGGAGAGCTTATTAAAATTCAGCTTGCTAAACCTCAACCCAGACTTTCTAAGTTGTGTGGTAGGGCCTGGGAATTTGCATTCCTAATAAGGTCCTGAGAGATGGACTTCAGTTTGGGAATCATTCTTTTAGCACTACTTCCAGATACTCAGGCTAGCATTTTGAATCCATGTTTTTTGGCATGTGCATCCAGATTGACAAATTATCATTTATATCCAAAATCTAACTTAATACACTTTCATTCCTGATCAGAACCTTTAGAATCCATAGCAGCTGTCTACATTTTTATCGAGGGTTGCCAGATCCAGAGGGAAAAATACAAGATGCCCACTTAAATATGTATTCAGATCAACATGAATAATTTGTTACAAGAGAAAGAGAATGTGCATGTGCTTACATGAGGGGGAGGGGCAGAGAGAGAGAGAGCAACCCAAGAAGGCTCCATGCCAAGTGCAGAGCCCTGTGTGGGGCTTGACCCTATGACTGTAAGATCATGACCCGAGCCAAAATGAAGAGTCAGACACCAAACCAACTGAGTCACCCAGGTGCCCTATGAATGATTATTTTAGTATTAGATCCCATGCAATAGTTGAGACATACTTATACTCAAAAGTTATCTATTTACAATTTAAATCAATGTCTTGTGTTTTATCTGGAAACCCTTCTGCCAACAGAAATTTGTAAGAACTTGCACTTCTTTTAGCCTATATATTTTTTCCTCCTGGGTCAGACTTTGTACTTATCTCCCTAGGGCATGCTGGCCTCTAAATCTCATTCTAGGTATTAAGGAAGTTGGCAAGGGGAAAGGGGTAAGAAATAGATGGATTGGACATGAGAAAATTTTTCATTCCCTCATGAAAGGTGACTTGACAGGATCTCCAAACAAGGCAGGACCAGCCTCTTCAGACGGAGAAGGTAAAGCTTCTAGCAAGAGATAGCTCACTTTGGTTTGAATCCAACCAAGCACCCTCCTTTCCAGTTTTCCTTCTCAATAAACATCCTAACTTTCACGAAGGAGACCATGTTGAGGCTGGGAATTTAACTTAATGACATATGTTGTAATTCAGCAACCTACAAGATTAGACTCTCTGACTTTGAGCGATGACAGCCCCGTGTCTGCCAGAGATAAGATTATTTGAGGGCACTTTTGGAGTATCACTGTCTGACTGGTGCCTTGAGCCAATAATTTAAAATCCTGTGTTGTCATTGTTCTTTGGAGTCAGGAGCAACCATTCACTCCATATTCCATTTGCCCTATTCCCCTCATGGTGGTCTATCCCAGCAGCTTGGTCTGGTAAGCTTTATTTTAGCTGCTCATTTCAGAAAACCATAGGTGGTGATTTAAGTAAGTATTTTACTTCTACATGGCACAGGACTGTGAGAATCAACTTTCTGATAGTTGTGGGCGGTCATCACTGCCTTCGGATCCAGCCAGTTACACACCTAATCCCAGATTCTCATCCTTGACATTTTTGAGGGTCTGATTTCTACAACCTCTTCAGATACTAAATACAACATACTTATTCAGGAAACAGAAACCCCTCGACATACTCTAAATTTAGAATGGGATCTAATGTAGGGAGTTGGGTCCTTAAGTAATTATCAGAAGCCTGCAGGACCTGGTCTAGGCCCAGCCTCCTGAATGACTTCAGAGTAATAAATTGTCACACACCAGGGAAGCTACTACTTCCGAGGCCACCACTTTATGGTACACTAAAAATAAGAAGCTGCTTCCGCCACCTCAGCTGCCTTGCAGCCCTAGGAAACTGAAGAAGGGTCACCTGAGGCTACAGTCCAGGAAGTAGGGAGTCACATCAAGTAGGAGTAACCACTACTCCTCAAAACCCAGGAAGTTGGAGGGTGGATGCTGGAATGCTGGTGAAATATAACCTCACACTTCTGGGAACTTTCTTGTCACAGAAATAGTTAAAAATGTACAGGAAGATGGTTTCTTGCCTCTGTTTTACTTTCCAGATCACTCACAGGTCTAATTTACAGAACTGAATTTGCATCTAACATCCTGGCTTCTCTGCAAAGAGAAAGGAGAATGGAGGTTGGTTAAGGCAGTCAGACACACTGCTCTTAGAGATGCTGCCTTACTGGGAAAAGATTCCTGCCCTTAATATGTAATGCAGCACTGTATTACCTTTATTTCAGGTGGGAGGGTTTCTCAGTAAACCGAACAACAGATCTTCCCATTCTCTTTTGTTGGCCTTATTTTACTCTTCCTTTGGACTCATAAGTGTCAGTTTTTGTTAAAGTTCATTTCTAGCCACTTTTTTATGTGTATATTTTTTGTTGAAAACCCTGTGGTTTCCTATGGAGATACAAATCTCAAAAATCTGTTATTTCAGGCCTTACCTTTCTTCTGACCTTCAGTTTTACAGGTCTTATTTATAGACACTAAAATTTAGACATTGTGTCTTTAAAATTTAGCAATCTCCAAAAAATGAACTCTTGAATTTGCTCTTCCTAATCTCTTTGTTTCTGTTGATATGTAATGAGTCTTTTAAACCTAAAACTTGCTGTCTTTGAGTTGCTTGTCTTAACTTCGTAGCCAGTCCAAAATGAAGTTCTGCTGACCTAAACACTTGTGCCCTCTCACTAATATGTAGCCTTGTTTGTTTCCTACTTCTGCTTCAAGAACATTGGACTCAACTGCCTTTGCAATTTACTTAGCAGTTAAACATGTGAAGCTAGGGTCACATGGGTGGCTCAGTCAGTTAAGCATCTGACTCTTGATTTCAGCTCAAGTCATGATCTCGCAGTTCATAAGATCGAGCTCTGTGCTGGGCTCCGTGCTGATAGTGCAGAGCCTCCTTGGGATTCTCTAGAGAGAGTATGCAAATTCAGTTCTGTAAATTAGACCTGTGAGTGATCTGGAAAGTAAAACAGAGGCAAGAAACCATCTTCCTGTACATTTTTAGCTATTTCTGTGACAAGAAAGTTCCCTCTCGCTCTGCCCCTCATCTGCACCCACTCCCTTTCAAAAATAAATAAACTTAAAAAACATATGAAGCCATATGATTCTCCTTGATTGTCTTGAACATCTACTTACATGCAGCTCTGTTTTACTTTATTTTGACTTCAGAGATAAGATTATAGTAAAAATGGGCATTTTCTCTTTATATTAAACTAATAATGCAATATATATTTTTATTTCATTTAATTTGAAAAAGAGAGCCTGTTGGCTAACATTAGGAACAGAAAAGGTGAGCTAGTTGTATCTCCATATTAAAGACCTGACTTCAAAAGGGGTAGAGATGTGCATTCTTGCCTCATCACATTCTGGTGTTGAGTGGCCTCCATTCAGCGTTGTTGTCAAATTACTCATGTGAAAGTAACACTCTAGAGGATAGGTATACTTGCTATCCTGAGTGTTTTGAGACAGATATGATTTTTTTTGTTTGTTTACTAAATAGTACTAGGAATTAGGCTTATAAATGCACTGTGGGTTAGTTTTAATCAAGGACTTCATGAACAATTCTTTGCATCTAATGTTGTAATCAAGAATGGTGCTGCAAATCTTTGCAAACATTTTATCACTATGATGAAGCTGTGGTGTGCAAGCAAGAAGATGCTTTCCTTCTGACAAATGGCCATTAGTAATAGTCCACATGCAAAACCTCAGTGTATTTCACAGGATGAGATTCCTTTTCATCCAATTCTTTTCCTTAGGACAATTGTCCTTTGAATATTAATATGATGAGGGAATTTATCAACATGTTTTAAAGATTATGTTACAAAGGCCAGATTTGAAATTTAATACTGAAAATCAACATACGTTATCTTTCGTGTGACATAAAGACAGAGGCTCCTTTCTGGATGACCCATCCCTTCTGTTAAGAGTATTAATTTCTTGGGGTGCCTGGGTGGCTCAGTTGGTTAAGTGTCCAACTTCAGCTCAGGTCATGATCTCCGAGTTCATGAGTTTGAGCTCCACGTTGGGCTCTGTGCTGACAGCTCAGAGCCTGGAGCCTGCTTCAGATTCTGTGTGTCCCTCTCTCTTGGCCTCTACCCACCCAGTCAAAAATAAATAAACATTAAAAAAAATTTTTAAAGGAGTATTTCTCAGGGTACCTGGGTGGCTCAGTCAATTAAGCATCTGACTTCAGCTCAGGTTATGATCTCACGGTTCATGGGTTTGAAGCCCCTTGTCAGGCTCTGTGCTGACAGCTCAGAGCCTGGAGCCTGCTTCAGATTCTGTGTCTCTTTCTCTCTGCCCCTTCCCCATTCATGTTCTCTCTCTCTCTCTCTCTCTCTTTCTCTCTCTCTCTCTTAAAAATAAATAAATACTTTAAAAAATTGAGTATTAATTTCTCTTGGCTATTCCCTAGTCTCTGAGGGAACAAGGGAACCTCACAGCTTCACTTATCAGTACATGTTGCTTTGCTGTGTCATTACCACTGTTACAGAAACAACTATGAAATTATAACTTAAAGCCATAATAATTTTATATCTTTTGTTCCCATATCCTAAATTACCATGAAAGATAAGAACAATTTAAAAAAGCATTAGATTCTTTTTCAGAGGTGATGCATTAGTTCTTTTTCAGAATTTTTAAATGTTTTATTTATTTATTTATTTGAGAGTGAGACAGAATGAGCAGGGGAAGGTCAGAGAGAGAGGGAGCCACAGAATCTGAAACTGGCTCCAGGCTGCGAGCTGTCAGCCCAGAGCCCAACACAGGGCTCGAACCCACGAACCATGAGATCATGACCTGAGCCGAAGTCAGACACTTAACCGACTGAGCCACCCAGGCACCCTCTGATGCATTAGTTCTAAAAAGAAATTGAGGTTATTCGGTTGATTCCTCTTTTTGTTTATTGCTGAAGATCTGATGCAAAGAAATAAATTTAGATTAATAAAGAAGGGTAATTTAGACATTTGGAAGAAAGTATTTATGTGAAGATTATTTAAAAAGAAAGAAAGAAAATTATGTTTTACCAGAATAGTCCTTTGTTTTCCCAAAAGTTTAAGCTAAAAAAGATTTGTTCCCTTATAGCACCATGATTCCATCTGTAGCATTTGAAAACAGGGTTGGGTGGATAAAGATTAGATTTGGCCATTTTTTAAAAATTGAAGTATAGCTGACACACAATATTATATTCATTTCAGATGTATAACATTTTGATTTGATGATTTTATACATCATCGCTCAGTGCTCACCATAAGTGTAGTCACCATCTGTCATGACACAGTGTTATCATAGTATTATATATGGGAAGGGAAAATTAACTGTATTCCCTATGCTGTGCTTTTTATCTCTGTGACTGATTTATTTTATAATTGGAAGTGTGTACCTCTTAATTCCCTTCATCTATTTCAACCATAAGTTTGTTCTCTGAATATAAGAGTCTGTTTGTTTTTTGTTTTGCTTTTTAAATTCTACATATAAGTAAAATCATATGGCATTTGTCTTTCTCTGTCTGACTTGCTTCACTTAGCATAATACCTTCTGGGTTAGATTGGCCATTTTTTAAAAGCCTCACTTCCCTCTCAAATCTCAATTGGAAAACAGTATGTGTTTGTTTTCTTGATTTTTTTTCTTCCCTTGAATGCCCTACAGGGGAGGTCTGTGTTAAATGTAAAATTACCCAGACTGTCAACAGAAGGTAATGAGTAGCTATCCTCAATAATTAGTTCTTTGTGTAATTATATATTATTAAGCCTTTCTTGAGAAAATTAAAAATACTTTTAAGGTAGTAAAATTACATGCTGAATGAAATTAAGAACTTTAAAATATGAGAGAATATAAAAATAGCATGAGTTTAACAATGTGAAAATATAAAATAATGAAGAGTACTGAATCATATTTAGTTTTGATCTAGAATTGCCTGGAAGCTAGGGCAGGGTCTACTATATCGTCATCTGCAATGTCAATAATTATTGATTGAATCAACAGATGACTGGCTGGCAAAATTAGTGATAAAGTAATGGTAGGAAAACTTTGGTTTCCTTCCAAAGATGTATGGAAAAAATACACTCACATACTATAATTATGATGGAACCTATGATTCAAACCTTACTGATTGTGAATTCCAGTTTTTGAGAGTGCAAGAGAGAACAGCAAAGAAATCCTCTGTTTTTCTGTCTAGGAAGCTGAAGTTTAAGGAAAAGGGTACAATTATGGACTAGAAAGTCATGATGAGTTTGGTAAACCAAATGTTTTCCACAAAACTCCACTACTTTGTAACTAAGAGACACATTATAATGTTTGAAAAATTCATCTATGGACAACTAAGGCATCAATTTATACAGAGTATAGACAATTTAAAGAATTCTTTAATTGGACAAATTTATTGCTTTATGACATATAGATTAATGGTTTATGATGAGCTAGCAAGAAAATAAGTTTGCTGTGGAATGCAGTCATAACTTTTGAGGTTATCAGCAAGTATTTGATAAAGCAGGGTACTGGGATATATGGATCATGAGTTTCAATTGTGACATTTCATATGTTCTTCTACTTTAATTGTACTTCTGTTATATAAATGCCTTTATTTGAGACACCTAGAACATAATACTGTTCTCAAACTTTGCAGGTCTCATTGGTTAGGGGCATTAGTACCTCATGTGGGTTTTAGAGCCTACTGTTTTTGACCCAAACATTCATGTTAGTTTTTTTTAATTGTTTTATTTATTTTTATTTTATTTTTTAATGTTTGTTTACTTATTTTTGAGAAAGAAAGAGCAAGCACAGGCAGGAGAGGGGTGAAGAGAAGGATAAACAGAATCTCATGCAGGCTCTGCACTGACAGCCTGATGCGCACAAACCATTAGATCATGACCTGAGCTGAGTGAGATCTAGAGTCTGATGCTTAACCAATTGTGCCACCCAGGCACCCTTAAGTTTTAATTAATAGTTTAACATAAGCTTAGAAGAAAATTGAATATAATAGCCTTTACCATATTCTTATCTATCTCTTCCAGAAAAGTTTTTTGAAATGAAGAAAGGACAATGTAAAGATGCCCTAGAAATTTACAAACGATTTCTAACTAGAATGACACGAGTATCTGAATTTCTCAAGGTTGCAGAGGTAAGTAATATTAAGCTTTGTTGGAAATATAATTTAAGAATATTAACTTATGTATCTGGAGTCAATAATAGGGTTTATAACCTGTCAAGACATTCTGTCCCAGAGCCCCAGTGTGCTAGGGTTGGAAGTGACCTCAGAGGTCATGTCGTCCGGCTTCTCGCTCAGAACTCTACTCTGCTCCTGCGTCCCAGTTAGATGACCATTCTGTGTTCAAATACAGGTGTCCTGGATACTGAGAAGATTCACAGCTCTGCAAGGTGGTTCAACCCTCCTTCCTACTTAATGGCTATCTTTGACCATAAGGAAGGGCTTCCTTTTTTCACTGAACTCTGAGAAAAAAAAAGGCCCGTAGGAAATTCTGTGTATTGTTAGTGTGGAGAAGTCATAAATATGAACTTACTTTGTCAATGATTTAAACACAATGAAAAAATTAAACAGAAAATGTCATTAATTTTATGAAGTTTGTACATTGTTTCTTAATCACAATAACTGTGTAACCATATAGTTGGTGTTCCTGAGGTTACCTGTAAGCTAGTATATGAATCCATTATTGATAAACACTGATATTGGAAGTTATGACCTTGTTATTATAGTCCTTTGGCAGCATGACCAGTCGGTTCTTATCTTACATGTCAGTGAACGAATTGTTAGGACTACCTGGTGTGCTGCATGAGAGGATTCTGAAGCTCAGCAGAAAAGTGTATGATACCATGCACTTGGGATATTCATGCCATGGTTTTGCTATTTTTACCATTTTTAGAATATAGCACCAGAACATGAATTTTAAACACACAACTCCAAAAACACTCTAGTTTGTGCATTATCTTTCAAATTTCATTTATTCATGGGAATAATGATTGTCACATTCATATTAGGAGACTAAATAAAGTTGTAAAACGCTATCTCTTGACCTTTGGCCCAAATAGTTTGTAATCAGATAAAGGTCTTTTTTTTTTATGTATAATATGGGAAACAAGAGTAAAGAAGAGTGTATAGGAACTACATACACATTAAAGCATATTCATGTGTACTTCTCGCAAGTTTATTGATGTTGGTTGTCTTTAAGGAAGGATAGAATTGCTTGAAACTTTTGCTTTTGCTGCCACACTAGTTTTATTTTTTGTATTTAATAAGATTTTCCTGTGGTTTAACCTTAGTTATCAATATAATCTAGTAAAATTTGTCTTTTTAATAGCAAATTTTAATAATGCCTAAGCATCCAGACAGAACCTCCTTTCATTGTTTCATTAATTCCTGGTGGACATGCTACCCCGTTTTCTTATCTCTAATTGTATTATTAAGGTAAGAAGCTGGGCATGTGACAACCTGGGATATACATTTCTCTAATCAGTACTGTAAGGCTGGGTTTAAGGTTGTCATGAGAAGGGGGTTATTTATTAAATCATTATGTTTTTATTTTTAAAATATTTTTAATGTTTATTTATTTTGAGAGAGAGAGTCTGTATGAGTGAGCAGGGGAGGGGCAGTGAGATAGAATCCTAAGCAAGGCTCCATCTCATGACCATGACATCATGACCTGAGCCCAAATCAGACATTTAATGACTGAGCCAAACAGGGGCCCCATTCTTTTTTTAGATGTAAACTTTTATTTTATGTCTCTTGATAACCTCATGTCACCACAGACCCATTTCAGGCTGTTGAGAAGGAAATATATGGAAATTCAATGTCATTTTGAGAGTTTTTCTTCAAATAACTGAATACAATATTATACTTTTATTTGAACATTATGACCAACACTTTTTTACAGAATGATACTAATTTATAAAATTATTTTAGTAGAATAAATGCTAACCCACAATGGGCTAACGATAGCTATTTGTGTTTTCTTTCTTTAAATTACATTGTTCATAATTTAGACATTAATTGTTTGAATACCAGTGTTGAGTGGTTTGGTTATTATTGGTAAATACGGAAATTTCTTAACACATGTACAAAGCTTCTCTCTCTACCAGACAGCTCTTGTGTGGTGTATGTATGTGTGGACTCATATCAAATAGCTACCTTGTAGTTAGTACCATTTCCCTGAAGAATGTACAAAAGACTTGCAGAATGTCATTTTTTTTTTTTTTTTTTACAAATAGTTTATTGTCAAATTAGTTTCTACATAACACTCAGTGCTCATCCCCAAAGTGCCCTCCTTCATGCCCATCCTCCCCTCCCCCCCACATCCATCAGTCCTCAGTTTTTGTCAGCATTCAAGAGTCTCTCATGGTTTGCCTCTCTCCCTTTCCCCCACCATTTCCGCCCTTCTTCTCCCCCTTGGTCCTCCGTCAAGTTCCTCCTAATCCTCCTATACGTGCAAACATATGATATTTGTCCTTCTCTGCCTGACTTATTTCGCTCAGCATAACACCCTCATGGTCCATCCATGTAGCTACACATGGCCAGATTTCATTGTTTCTCATTGCCATGTAGTATTCCATGGTATAGATAAACCACACTGAGATACCACCTCACTCCAGTCAGAGTGGCTAAAATGAGCAAATCAGAGAACTCTAGATGCTGGCGAGGATGTGGAGAAACGGGCACCCTCCTTCACTGTTGGTGGGAATGTAAACTGGTACAGCCCCTCTGGAAAACAGTGTGGAGGTTCCTCAGGAAACTAACAATAGAACTCCCTTATGACCCAGCAATAGCACTGCTAGGAATTTACCCAAGGGATACAGAAATGCTGAGGCAGAATGTCATTTTTAAAATACACTGTGTGTGTGTGTGTGTGTGTGTGTAGGCTATTTGGCAAATGTTAGTAAATTGCCATACTAAAAGAAATGTAGACTTGTCAAGCAACTAGTATGGAAATATTCAAATGTCCCAGAAGAATTGCTTAAAGTGTAGAAAACTTTCCATGTTTTGAATTCTTACAATGAAGCCTCCTAAAGCAGAGAACTGAAACTTTGTAAAATGGTTGTTTTATAGGTAATAGGCATTTTTGCTAAACACACTTCCCTTTTTATAGAACTAAGTTATTCTTAGTTTGCTATTCTAAGATAAATACCAAGTCGTAGGAGTTATATCTCCCAGAATATTTGCAGACAGAAAGTAATGAGATTTCTGTAATACAGCCACCCCTCAGCTTAAGCCTCCAATTACATTATGGTTCAGAAGTTCAGGTGAGTGAAAATAGCAGTGTCAAGGAGGAATTCCTAAATTATGTCTTTCTGTTCAAGAAGGCTGTGTTAACTATTTAAGAGAAACACATCACCTTTTACCGAGATGATCCCAATATTAAAGATCCATAATACTTTAATTTCAAAAATGCTAATAACTTCATTCATATTAATATTTTAATGGATGGATCACCTAACGGGGTATTAAAATATGGAAATAAATGAAGTTACCTTAGTTTATAATTTCCATAATTTGTAATATTTAAGTGAGTTTAGGGAAGCAGGAGTAGCTTCCCTAAAGTCAGAGTTCAGTCGTTAGCAGGTAATGTCTCTACGTCTAGGAGGAATCTGCAGCCTAAGTTGCTCTAGAAGGGTGAGAGTCAGTGCTCTACATCAGTAGTTCTTCACACTGGGCAGTTAATGCTCCCCTCACCTCCCCAGCTACCAATGTCCTGAGATATTTTTGGTTGTCGCAACTGTAGGTGGGGCAGGTCTACAGGCACCCAGTGGGTAGAGACCAAGGATATTGCCAGTATCCTACAGTGCACAAGACAAACCTCATCAAAGAATTATCATTATCATCCCAAAATGTGAATAGTACCAAGGCTGGTAAATCCTGCAATAGAGAAAGTAAAAGCAGTAGCTTCATTAAGCATTTGTTCACAGGTGGATTTTCCAACCTCTAGTTTGCCTTATTGTCATTGTAGGAGCCCAGCACTTAGGCTTCATGTATTTGCTTCTGCATTTCCATCAACATCAAAGCAGTTCATTTCTCAAAGAGAGAGACTTGATTTAACCTTTGTTTTTTGAGTGTAAATTTCATCTTTACATAAAATGAGAGAATTGAAGTTATTATTTGTATTTTTCTCCAAGTTTTTATTTTGAATAATTTTTAAACCTACGATGAGTTGATAGAGCATATATAGTGAACACCTATGTACTCTCTTCATTGATTCACTTCATTAATATATTCCCATAGTTGTGTTCTTTCTTGCTCTTTCTTTGACTTTTTCTGCATTTCCTCCCTCCGTTACCTCTCTTCCCCAAGCTACTAACACTAAAAATTCACATGTGCTTTCACCTAGTAATTCCACTTCTACAAATGTATCCTGCAGATGTATCCACACAGGTGCAAAATGGTGTGTGCAGCATTGTGTGTAGGCAAGAGATTGGAAGCAACTTGAGTGTTCATTAATACATGACTTGTTGTTTAATGGGGCGCCTGGGTGGCCTAGTCGGTTAAGCGTCCGACTTTCGCTTAGGTCATGATCTCGCGGTTGGTGGGTTCGAGCCCCGCGTTGGGCTCTGTGCTGACTCCCAGCTCAGAGCCTGGAGCCTATTTCAGAGTCTGTGTCTCCCTCTCTCTCTGACCCTCCTCTGCTCACGCTGTCTCTCTCTCTCTCTCTCCTAGAAATAAATAAATAAATAAATTTAAAAAAAAATACATGACTTGTTTAAGTAAATAATAGGAAAAGAAGCTATTGTAAAAAATAAGTGAACTCTGTGTTAATGTGGATATAGGTCTAAGATATATTGTTGAATGAAAAATATAAGCCTAGTGTATATAGTACACTAGTATTGTATAATAACATGGGAAATAAATATGTATTGATATATTTCCTATTTCCTTGGATATACATGAGGAAACCCTGGAAGGATACATAAGCAACAAACAGAATGGTTCTCTGTGGGAGGAGGGGTGGGCACTGTAACCTGAACAAGTTATTAAAACTAAATGAATCTTCCCTGTCCAGAGGACTTACTGGGTATAATTAATTTAAATTTAGTATAAGCATTTTTTAGACTTTTAGTTGTCTTTAGCCATGGAGAAAAACTTTAAATTTTATATTTCAATTTCTGGGGTGCCTGGGTGACTCAGTCGGTTAAGCGTCCAACTTCGGCTCAAGTCATGATCTTGTGGTTCGTGGGTTCAAGCCCCGCATCGGCTCTGTGCTGACAGCCAGCTCAGAGCCTGGACCCTGTTTCAGATTCTGTGTCTCCCTCTCTCTCTGACCCTCCCCTGCTCGCTCGCTCGCTCGCTCTCCCTCCCTCCCTCTCTCTCTCTCTCTCTCTCAGAAATAAATAAAACATTAAAAAATCGTATTTCAATGTTTTAAGTCTTTTTTGGGGTTCTAGTAAAATTTTTTTTTGCATTTGTTATATCTAACCACATTAACAAAATCATTTCTCTGTTGTATTGAATGGAAAACTACACAAAGCATATTTTCAAAGTGAGATTGACAGTTCTTTTATACCAAGATTGAGCTATGGTTAAGTAATTCTTGGGTAATCTGTTAAATGCAAAGAAGTTAATTTTAAAAATTCCCATTAAGTGACTTATTTTTTTAATCTGCAGCAAGTTGGCATTGATAAAGGTGACATTCCTGACCTCACACAGGTAAGTGATTCTCTGAGTAAAAAGTATAGGATGCATGAAATTATTACTCTGTGATTTGCCATCAGTTACCTAGATCATAGTCTTGTAAGCATTTAGTGCATTTTGAATTTAAGTTAACCACCTTTCTTGTAAATTATTCTAGATTTATTTTTTCTAGCTATCGAATATGTTTCTGGAGATAATGGGAAGATTTCCTTGCCCATTTAACAGTTTCTTCTTCTTTTTTTTTTTTTTTTTTTGCTAGTTAACAAAGAAAGTATTTAATACTTTGTCATAGATAGCATCTTACTTCCACAGAAAAAAGGCAATCTCTCATAACATAATTTTTTTCCCTTTTACTATCAAAACTTTTTACAGAAGCTTCCTGCTCCATTTCTTTTTTTTTTTTT